TCCGCCCGGTCTCGCCAGGGGGTCCAGCAGCGGGTTCCTGCGGGTCATGGCGCTGCATCACCCGCCCCAGCTCTGTCCCGCTGTCCGTTCAACACCGAAGGCTCCGGCAGCAACTCCTGCCTGCCGAGCCGAGGAAGTGTCCCTGGAGAGGAGCAGGACCCGCAGAAACCCCGGCTGCCCGGGCCGGTGCCCCGTCTCCCGTCTCAATCCGTGGCTGCTTTGCGCCGCACGGGTGTCTTTTGGAGCAAGGCCAACGTGTCCCGCTTCTCCACCCTCCGCAGCTGCTTCTTCTTCGCCCGTTTGAGCTTCAGCGGGTTCCGGATCTGTGGGAGAAGGGAAGAGGGGGTTTTAAAGCAGCAGACGTAGTAATGACTGAAGTCTCTACACGACTCCTGATTAGATTTATCCTAAAACCTCTCCCTGGGAACGTCTCTGAGTTGTCCCCATGAAAGCACGGCGTGCTCAGATCCTTGTCAATGCCGAGTTTCCCTTGCTCCATCACCCCGTGTGCCAGCGATCCCCAGGGTCACCCCCTCCCTGGTTTTCTCAAGCTTGAAGGAGAAGCTGCCCCCCACACCACCCTGCAGAACACGGGCTGCCTGCTCGGAAGAGGAGACACCCTCTTCGGACAGTTGGGTTTGGCTGGATTTCTCCATTCCTCCCAGTGCCGCCCACAGCATCCTTCAAAGGAGGAGCCAGGGAGAGGAACTGGAGCAAACTGGAGCCCAGCGCTCAGGGTCTGGAGTCTGCCGCATCTGCCAGGCCACTGCAGTGCCACCAGCCAGGAACGGTGCTGCAACTCACCACTTGGACAATCTCCGCCTTCCGCTCGTTCTCCAGGCGCCGCTTCAGGTTCTCCTCCCGCCGCCGCTTCTTCTCCTGCGAGAGCAGAACCAAAACATTCCATGCGGATCTCTCCCTCCCTCTGGGCTTAAACCCAAACCAGCATCGACCCGTGGATGATGCAGACGCCAGTCAGGAAGCTACACGGCTACAGCAGCATGAGCAACACCTGCCCAACCATGAAATCTGCTGCACAAAGCCAAGCCAGCAGCGCTTTTCCCCACGGGGCACGAGGTTTGAACTGACTGAGGGAGTTTATTCCGAGCCAGTGACTTGCAGCACGTGACCGTCGCAGCCTGGATTTGGCAAGACGACAGGGAATTCACCATCCCGGCTGCCTACGAGAAGGGCAGCCAGCGGGGTGCGTGCTGCCCAGGAAACCTGCCCCACGGAGACAGCAGGCACGGAAGGGCTGGGCGATGCTGCCTGCGGGGACCTGAGCCCAAGGCCCAGCTCCCGAGCCCCCTTTACCTCTCGCTCTCTCTGCTTCCCCTCCTGCAGCTGCCGTGCCAGGTCCTGGACGAGCTTCCTCTCCTGTCGCTCCTTCATCTTCCGCGCCCAGGAGGTGCGAAGGGCCTTGTCCTGGATCATGTGTGAGAACCTGAGTGGGCAGACGGGCCGTGTCAGCAGCTGGAGCAGACAGAGCTCAGCTCCCCACGGCTCACAGAAACCCTACGCATCCTTGCCACCTCTGGGCCCTTCCCAGAAGCTCCTCGGACCAGAACACTGTGAAGCTCCCCCAGTTCAGAACCTCCCACAGCAGCTTCAGCCCCTCGACATCCCCTCCAAACCATCCCCCCAGCTCAGGACTCCCCCAAAGCGGCCCTCTCCCCTCCGGGTCCTGCTTAAAATCTACGAATAACTCCGCAGTCTCCCTACGAACCACCCTCATGGCCCCAGCAAAACAGCCCTGTCCACCCCACACCTCTCCTGGGCCAAGCCACCCCCAAAAAGACCCTGTCCCCCTCAGAGTCTCCCCCCAGAGCACCCGCAGAGCCTCCCCCCGAGCCCAAGAACCCCCAAACAGCCCTGCCTCCACCACAACTCCCCCCTAAAGAGACCCTCCCGACTTTGCAGACAT